GGTGGTGCAGGGTGTGGTGTGGCATGGTGTGGTGTGGTGTGGTATGGTGTGGTGTAGTGTGGTATGGTGTGGTGTAGTGTGGTATGGTGTGGTGTAGTGTGGTATGGTGTTTTATGGTGTGGTATGGTGTGGTGTGGTTTAGTGTGGTATGATGTGGTGTGGAATGGTGTGGTATGGTGTGGTGTGGTGTGGTGTTTTATGGTGTGGTATAGTGTGTGGTGTGGTGTGGTGTGGTGTGGTGTTTTATGGTGTGGTATAGTGTGTGGTGTGGTGTGGTGTGGTGTGGTGTTTTATGGTGTGGTGTAGTGTGTGGTGTGGCATGGTGTGGTATGGTGTGGTGTGGTGTGGTATGGTGTGATATAGTGTGTGGTGTGGTGTGGTGTGGTGTGGTATGGTGTGGTGTAGTGTGGTATGGTGTAGTGTGGTGTGGTATGGTGTGGTGTAGTGTGTGGTGTGGTGTGGTGTGGTGTGGTGTGGTATGGTGTGGTGTAGTGTGGTATGGTGTAGTGTGGTGTGGTATGGTGTGGTGTAGTGTGTGGTGTGGTGTGGTGTGGTGTGGTGTGGTATGGTGTGGTGTAGTGTGGTATGGTGTAGTGTGGTGTGGTATGGTGTGGTGTAGTGTGTGGTGTGGTGTGGTGTGGTGTGGTGTGGTATGGTGTGGTGTAGTGTGGTATGGTGTAGTGTGGTGTGGTATGGTGTGGTGTAGTGTGTGGTGTGGTGTGGTGTGGTGTGGTGTGGTATGGTGTGGTGTAGTGTGGTATGGTGTGGTGTAGTGTGGTATGGGGTGGTGTGGTGTGGTATGGTGTGGTGTAGTGTGGTGTGGTATAGTGTGTGGTATGGTGTGGTGTGGTGTGGTATTTTATGGTGTGGTATAGTGTGGTGTGGTATGGTGTGGTGTGGCACGGTGTGGTATGGTGTGGTGTAGTGTGGTATGGTGTGTGGTGTGGCATGGTGGTGGTGTGGTGTGGTGTGGTGTGGCAGGTGATGGTGGGGCGCATAGGTTATGTGGTGTGTTTGGGAAGAAAGGAGAATGGATGGGCTGAAGCTGTCATGGTTGGAGCCCAGATGAATGTGGAATAGATTTTTTTGACCTTTCTTGCTCTTCCATCCTTCCCTCCTTGGATCATTGGTTAAGTGAGATAAATGAAAGTTTCTAGACATTTCCCTGGTGATGCAGGAGGAAGGAGGTAGTAGTGGAAACAAACCCAGCTCTAAAATATGGGATGGTCTTCCCAGGACTCAGGAATCCGCGGTGGATCCTGACCCCACTTCCACGTAGACTGGGGTATTAGGGCGGTCCTCCCTGAGGTCTCCTGGGTGAGCTTTGGGTTTTGGCCACTTTCCTTCCATCATGAAGGCATGGGTCTTCCTCTCTCTGTGGCCTGTTAGAGCTGCCAGAAGATGTTCAGGGAGTCTACTTGCCTCATCCCTGCAGGTATGGTCTTCTGTAATCTGGCCTGACCGCTCCTGGTTTCTGTTGTTTCTATTCCACTCATGCTCTCTGAAGAAACCTTTTGGGGTGAACTGACATGCCACCCCCTTTTGTTTCACTTCCCTCAGATAACTTCTGATTCTTCTTCAGGACTCAAGTCTAGTCACTTACAGAGAGTTTCTCTTGGGCTACGGGATTTCTTGGAGAACAATACGCTCTTAGACAACAGGCATTGGGGCACAGGTCTCCCTCTCTGGAACTAAGGGGCTGGCATTGTGCTGAAGTGTTGTGCTTGCTGCTGTCCCCAGTGCTGCCTAACCCACCTGGGAAACTTCCTCTGTATAGCACCGGCCTTTTATCACCTCACCTGTGACACTGGGGCATGGCTGGTGCTCACTGTAGTCCCATATCCTCAGGCCCCTCCCCCAGGAGGTCTCCTCTACCTGGAACCCAAGACACTGATGTTCCTTCCTCCTGGCTGTGTGAAATCAACCTGGCTTCTCTCTCAGACCCTAAGGCCAGGCTGTGCTGACCTGAAGGTACATCAAGTCTTGGCTTAGAACAGAAGCTGGACACAAAACTGGGTCAGCTCAGAGCTCTGCTCTTTGGCCTGGTCTGACTCCTCCGTAGCGGTTTGATCTGGCAGCTCTTCGGTGGCAGGTGTGCAGGATGTGTTCCTAAGACTCTGAGAAGCTTATTTCATGTGTAGCGTTCCTAAGAGGCCTGGAGATAAGCATTCACACCTCCAGTGTGTATAGGTCCAGAGGAACCCAAAGAACTCCGCTCAAGTCTCAATGCTGGGAAGCACCCACAGATAGGAGGCTGTGCTGTTTCTACAATGCTGCTCTGCCTCAGGTCTGGCCCAGCTTGCTTTGGGCCCAAGGCTAGGGTGCCCTGGCTGCTCTGAGGCAGGCTGGTACCATTCCTGTCTTCTGCATGAGGTCTCCTTGCCAGGAAGCCGCAGGAAGCTCAGAGTGGTGTTTACCAGCTTGCAGGCAGTGTCTCTAGCTGGCCACACGGGGCTCCTTGCCTCCTCATCATCCCGCTTCCCGGATGCTGGGAGGGGAGCAGTGGGGGCAGGGCACCCTTCCCTGAGCAGGAGTACATCTTCCCTGCCTGTGTACATCTGACTGCATCCCACTTTCCTCAGCAGCTATTTCTGAAGGTGGGAAAAACAACGGTGACTTGAAAGGCACAGAGGTTTGCGTAGGGGTATGTGTGCACTGTCACATAGATCTCAGGGTAAACAAACACGCGTGCACACATGCATGTCTGCCTACATACATGTGCAATGGAAGCCTGGGGAAACCAGGGGGAGGGATGCTTGTGGTGTACTTTGTGGGTTGGGAAGTTGCAGGCAACAAGCTGAGAAGTACCTGCCATGCAGATGGCTCTAAGTGCCATGCTTCTATACCAGAGGCCAGGATACCAAGCTTGGTTCTCCTTCTGCCCTAGGAAAAGCTGCTTGCCTCTCCAAGCATCTGTTGCTTGATGTTTCCTTTATTTTCTTAAAGAAAGACTGTCATGAGACTGAAAAGAGCATGTTGCTCAAGTAGAGAGTTCTAGAAATGTTAGCTCCTTTTCCAAGGTTGGGAGGTGCTCCTGCCACAAAAGACCTCTCTTTTTCCTCCCTCCCTCCTTCCCCTCCCCCTCTCCCTTCTTTCATCCTTCCTTTCCTTCCTCTTGCTATGTAGCTGAGGCTGTCCTTGAACTCAGGACCTTCCATCTCCCAAGTGCTCAGAGTACAGGTGTGCAACATCGTGCTCAGTGACCACAGGACTTCTTAAGGAACAATAGTCTTCTAGATGACAGATAATAGGGTGCAGCAAGCTCCCTCTCTACTAAGCTTAGCCCCTGGGAGCCCAATACTGGCCCCCAAAGTGAGGTGGAGAGCTGTAAGCTGGCAACACAGCCATCCAGCAAAGAATGCAAATGGGTGAAGAACCCCCAGGACAGTTGTCAGCTGGAGAGGAAGGTGAGGCTGAGCAAGCAGCAAAGGCTCTTCAGAGAGGACCTCAGTGTGTCACTTTAGACAAGACCTTCGCGTCCCTCTCCTCCTACAACGTCCTTGTTCTATGTGCCAAGCCAGCATCCAGCTGTGCTCAAGGCGTTGGAAGTCACCAAAACCTACAAAATTCCATGGCAGACAGCTCCCCTGCGGGCCTCATCTGTCTACCTGGGTAGGAGTGGCAGAGTGTGCTGTTCCAGGGCTAGGAACAGGGCTGGCTTTAAGAGGAAGAGAGAAGTGCCCCAAAGTGTGGCAAATCCTCAGAGGGGTCCTTCTTTTGAGGCTGGGCACATAACCCCTCCTGGGATGGAGCCTAGAGCTGTCCGTTTGTTTGCCAGCACCATTAAAGGCTGTCATGTCTCTACTCATTCAAGATGATTAGCGAGTTCTACAGGAGCTGCAGAGAAAGCGGATGTCTTTTCTCTATAATGTCCAGTTCACCAGGAGTTCATGAGCACATGCACATGTCCCTCAACTGGTCTGCAAGCACTCTGTGTCCACAGAGAATCAAGTGACTCAGAGTACTTGAACTCTGAATATGAGTACTTGAATATGAACAATAAAACCTATGAATATGGAACATTGAGTTCTATATCTCCACCAGCTCTGT